GAGGAATCCCCCCCCACAAGAGGCATCAATATGCGCGAGGCCCCTTGCACATAAGGAAAAATATGGGGGAGGCCCCTCCACAAAAGGAAACAATATCATCTTTCTCCTCCTCATCTTTCTCCTCCTACTTCTTCTGCTCCTTCTTATCCTCAACCCCTGCGCCAGAGCGGGAGGAGGAGGGGGAGGAGCAGGAGGAGGAGGAGGAAAAGGAAATCGCCCGCCGCAAAAGAACTCAATTGGTGGAGGTCCCTCCACAGACGGAATCAACATGTGGAGGCCCCTCAATTTAAGGAATCGATAATTTGAAGGCCCATCCACATAAGGAATCAATATGTGCAGTTCCTTTCCAACATAAGGAATCAACAAGTGGGAGGACCCTCCACAAAAGAAATCAACATGGACACCCCTTGCACATAGGGAATCAATACGTGGAGGTCCCTCCACAGACGGAATCAACATGTGGAGGTCCCTTCCACATAAGGAATCAATATGTGGAGGATCCCCCACAAAGGAAACAATATCATCTTTCTCCTCCTCATCTTTCTCCTCCTACTCCTTCTGATCCTTCTTCTCCTCAACCCCTGCGCCGGAGTGAGAGAAGGAGGGGGAGGAGGAGCAGAAGGAGGAGGAGGAAAAGGAGATCGCCCGCCACAGAACGAATCAATATGTGGAGGTCCCTCCACAGACGGAATCAATTTGTGGAGGCCCCTCCACATAAGGAATCGACATGAAAAGGCCCATCCAGATAAGGAATTCATATGTGCAGGACCTTTCACATAAGGAATCATTATGTGAAGGCCCCTTCCACATAAGGAATGAACAAGTTGGAGGCCCCTCCACATAAGAAATCAATATGGGGATCCTTGCTCATAAGGAATCAACATGTGGAGGTCCCTCCACAGACGGAATCAACATGTGGAGATCCTTTCCACATAAGGAAACAATATGTGGAGGATCCCCCACAGGAGGAATCAGGCCCTTTCCACATAAGGATTCAACGAGTGGGAGGCCCCTCCACACAAGATATCATTATGGAAGCCTCTTGCACATATGGAATCATTATGTGGAGGTCCCTCCACACATGGAATCAATATGTGGAGGCCCCTACACATAAGGAGTCGATGTTTGAAGGCCCTTGGAAAGACGAACATATGCAGAGAAGTCGGATCAGCGATAAACGAGTAGAAGGAACGACAATGATAATGAAGAGTAGGAGGGACAATAAAGAGTAGAAGGAACGAGGGCGGTAAGGAAGCTTGCGAAGGGGAAGAAGATGACGAGGCCCTGCAACGGAGAAGGGTGGGAGGAAGGAGGAGGGACGAGGGGTGAGGGAGGAGGGAGGATCGGGAGGATAACGAACATACTCAAAAGGATAAGGAAAGAACCATATAAAGAAATGCAGCGGGAAGGAACGACACCGATGCGGACGGAGAGTTGGCAGCATACGAGGGGGAGGGCTGACAAAGAAAGAAGTGGGAAGTAGCGAAGACAAGGCGAATGGAGAAGATGGGAAAGGAGAGGAGGAGAAGGAGGAGGAGGAGGAAAGGGAGGAGGCACAGGGGGAGGAGGAGGAGGAGGAGGAGGAGGAGGAGGAGGAGGGAGAGGGGCAGGAGGAGAGGGAGGGGAAGGAGGAGGAGGAGGAGGAGAAGGAGGAGGAGGAGGAGGAGGCGGAGTAGAAGGAAAACAATAAATAAAAAAATGGAGGAAGAAGGAGGAGAAAGGATGAGGGGGGATGATGGGGAGGGAGATGAGGAGAAGGAGGAGGAGGAGGAGGAGGACGACGACGACGATGACGAGGACGACGACGACGACGACGACGAAGCCGACGAGAAAAAAAACGAAATGTATGATCACAGGGGGGGCGAGCATACATACATATACATATATATATACACATACACCAGGTTTTACTGGTTCGCTTCGCTGCGCCTTTTCAAGCATTTGGTCGCACGGCGCCAGAGGGGCTCGTCGCGACTGGCAGTCGCCAGCACCGCGGTGCGCTTCGGCCACGGGACCAGTGGGCACACAGAGCCGATGGGGCCCGTGGGCTCCTCCGCGTCGGAGGGCTTTAAGGACTCTCCGCCGCCGTTGAGATCGAAAGGTTCGGAGCGCTGATGCGGAAGATGGGTAATTCAGGCAGCGCGGCCTAGGTTTCCCGAAGGTTTTCCACGCGGAATCGAAGATCAACTTGTGTGAAAAAGAGGCCTCGTTCCTTATCTAGGGTTCCTTAGGTCAGCAACCCGACTGTATTTGGGGTCATGAGGGTCCAAGCGCCCGCAGCCGTACTTGGATTCAGAGAGCTCTTCGGGCTTGTGAGCGCATGAGGCTTGCAGATTCGTAGGGTCCTTGGCATCACAGAGGTCACGGGCTCCTGGGCCCCGTGGAGCGGGCTGGCTCAGAGGGCTTGTGAAGTTCATGGGGAGCATAGGGGGGTCATGAGGGGTCGTCAGGGTCATAGTGTTCATTGGGTCCATGGGCCTCAAACGGTTCATAAGGTTCTTGAGGCTTTTTGGGGTCGTGTGGCCCGTAGGGCCCATGATGCTGATAGAGCTCAGAGGGCTCGTAGGGCTTATGAGGCTCACACTTGGCTCCAACACCAGTTTCCTTGGAAACTCGCAAGAGTTTCCAAACAAACAACAGTGTATGTATGCACGCCCATCGGCAAGATGAAATGTCGCGCGCGCGTGCTCAGCGCTCGCACGCACGCGATCCCAAGATGTCCCATGGCCACAAACTGCTTCCAGGAGTGCCTCAGGCCACGGACAGTAACGTCCAGACGACCCTGGGATGATGCCACCCCAACACAATCCTGCCATGGATTCGGGGCCGTCCCAGGCCGACTCGAAGATGATCCAACCATGACTGAGACATGATCTCAAGATGACCTCAAGACGACACGAACACGGCAGGAATGCTGCAACTTCTGAGCACCATCTTATTTCGTGCCGATCCCAGCATGGCGGGAGACGTGAACGACCCAGGATTTTGGTGTACCCTATTTCTGATGTGTGGGGTTCTGACTTTCCTCAATTCAGATTATATGGTTAAAAGGGAACAGGCTTGGCGGGATCCCGCCGGGCCCACGAAAGAAGACTACATTGCTAGGCTTCTACGATGGTAGGGGGGTTCGGAAGGGGCGTCGTTTACATCCGCCGACTTCCGCGGGCCTTCCGACGGCCTTCTGCCGTCTTCCGTCTCGTTTTACTTCCGTCGATTTCCGCAGGCGAGCGTCGTGATGAAATTTCAAGGAGTTTGCTCTGGGCCGATGTAGGCGACAAGGGGCTCATAGGGATCATTGGGCCTGTAGGGCTCATTGGGCCTGTAGGGATCATAGGGATCGTCGCGCCCATTGGGCTCATAGGCTCATCGCGCTTACGAGTCTCATAGGCTCGCAGGCGACCTTGAGCCCATAGATCTGCTAGGGCTCACTGGGCTCACAGGGCTCATGCGGCTCACGCGGCCCATAGGGCTCACAGGGCTCATAGGGTCCAGATGGGAACAGGGCGCTAATGGAGCTCAGATTGCCGTAGTGCGCAGAGCGCTTATGGGGACCACAGGGCTCGTACGACCAATAGAACACGTGGTGCTCAGACGGGTGACAGTTGCCCCAGTGCTCGTAGGGCCTAGAAGAGTCCTAGAGCCGATCAGGCGGTAAGGCCTGGAACGGACTTCGAAAGCACATCCTGCAGTCCCAGCGTCTGGGCGCCAATGAAAGGGTCGGGGTGCGGGGGGGCCCTCACCGGGCCCCTTCATCATTGAAGAACGACGTGGTGTGAAAATGGTGTTCGGGGAAAGGTTTCTGGATATTGGGGGGCCGACGTTGCGAAAAAATCGCGACCTTGAATGTCTGGGACGGAAGGCGAGGAGGCCGGGTAGGAGGAGAGAACCAAGGGGTGGACCCGGGCGACCGCCGAAGCCCAGGCTGAGACTCGTTGGCCTTGCCGTTATCGTCGTCGTCGTCGTCGCGCTCCTCAGATATCCTTCTTGAATGTCTTTGGCAGAAGAGCGGCGGCTGGGCGGCGCGTGCTGCTGTGGAACGGCCTTGCCTTTGGGATCTTCTGGGTTGTTTTGGGGGGCTTGGGCCGTTTTGGGGCTCTCTCGGGGCTCTCCTGGGCCCTCTTGGGGGCCTCCTTTGGCCATCCGGGGGCTCTCTGGGGAGCTTTTTGGGGCTCTCCCGGGCCCCTTTTCGGTTGTCTCGAGTTCTCTTGGGCTGTCTTGGAGTCCTTCTGGGCTGTCTTGGGGCCCTCTGCAGGGCGTCTTGAGCCGTCTCGCGGCGATCTTGGGGGTCTCCTGGGCCGTTTTGGACGTTGTAAGCGAATCTGCTAGACATGTACGTCGTCCGAAGGGAAGGACACGATTTGTGCCTCTTCGGGGCGCTCGGGGGAGGTGTTTTTGGAGCGTCTTGCGGGCCTTCTTGGCCACCTTGAAGCCGTTTGGGGCCCTCTTTGAACGTTCTTGGCCGTCCTGGGGCCGTCTTGAGGCCAGCTTGGGCGTTCTGGAGCGGTGTTGGGCCGTTTCGGTGCCCGCGTGACCGTTCGGGAACCGATCAAGGGCCCGCTCGGGCGGTGTTGGATGGCCATGAGCGCGCATGCCCGAATTCTGCACGGGTGGGTGGGGGCTTTAGAATCAAAGTCGAAGAGGAATGTGTATACATATACACCTATACATATATTTGTATATATGTATATCCATACACATAGTTAAAGGTGTGTATATATACACAAGACAGCATTGGCGCTTCGCGCCATGCACCTTGGTCCTTGAAGTTTGGCATGCAAGCGGAATGGCAGGGCGGTCAAACAGACAACTTAGCGACAAACAGTTTTTGCATGTTCCGGCATCGCCGTTATAATAATGTTAGTCGCTATCTTTCCTCTTTGTTTTTTCCTCGTTCTCGCCCTACCCTGCGAATTCTTCCCCATCCCCATTAGCTCTTTTTGCGGAGGCCATTCCTTTGAGAGCCTCTGGGGGCCTCGCGGAAGTTGTTCAGGATTTCTGAAGCCCTCTGGCGTCTTTTAGGGGCTTGAAGTTTTGGCGTATCCTTCCGTCTTCACAACAGCTACGCTTACGGCGTCTAAACATGTACTAGTCTTTGGGCCGTCAGCCTGACCACCACTCGCAGCTTCTAGTGGCGCTGTTCGGCACATTTGCTGTTGACCCGAGACTGCATCTTCGCGGCGGGAGGCCCACGGAGTTTTCTTTGCCCTATGTGCTCCAGATGGCCAACGATCTAGAGGAGGCAGCCGCTCTGCCCCCATACGATGCCATCCAGCAAGTGGCCACGGACCTCAGTCGAATCGCGGACGCAGAGGCCATGGCAGATTTTTGGTGTCATTGATATGAACGAGCTTCGCAGCAAAACTTACGGATTATGTTGCCCACCGCTTGGATGGACAGAGTCAGGGGCCCTTCCGCCACAAGCCAGAGGGGGAACAGATGCGGACGCCATCTGTAGGCACAGCAAACACGGTCAGGAATGCGGAGCAAGTCTTACGACACGGGGAGCTTCATTAGCAGGTATGGACGGGGCTCACCACGTGCGCAAATTATTCTACATATTTGTACCAATCTATGTGTGCATATAGATGTTGCAAAACATATCATCATCTCAGAAATCAGCAGCACTTCATCTGGGACGTTCCTTGAATCGTGGAGTTTGCCTTCCAGAAGCAGCCCGTACCCTAAACAAGGTCAATCCTCTCCAGAATTATCGTTATTTGTGCTGTGAGTTCGAGGGTGGAACGTACGACGATTCGTGTAGCCATCTTGTGTCGAACCATCTTCCTGGGCAGATCTCGCCAATACCAGCTGCACCAGACACCGATCAAGATGCCAGGGGGCGCGATGGAGATCCCGAAGGTCACCATGCCCGCCTGGCGCAGCCAATCGATCGCAGAGTCATATGGCCCACCTGATGCAGGCGCGCCGCAAGTCAAGAAGCACACGGAGGGCAAGTAGCAAAAGGACATCATCGCCCCCCTGTGCAAGCTCGTGACGGCGAACAGCAAGGCGACCGCGGACGTGGAGAGCATCGCCTATAGCAAGTACCAGATCGGGGTAGGCCAAAGCAGCGTGTCGGCGGGTCTCGCCGCAGGGAATAGGCACGACACGGAGAGCACGGATATCAAGAAGAAGGCGGCAGGGGGAGAAGCAGTGGACCACAAGGCGCGTGGGCCCCCGTTCCTGGCGGTTTTCATGGCCACGTTCGCCTGCGGAGCATCTCGGACCGTCCCAGAGGGCGGCAAAGTGCAGGAGAAGAAGATGGTCTGCGAGATGCTCGCCTTCTTCACGGAGCGTCTCTCGACGGCATCGGTCAGCGAAGTGGCGGAGCTCGTGGGGCACGTTAGGATCAAGACGCACAAGAAGCACGATAACCAAGAGCAGCTCTGCACGAGCATGTGGCACTTCATCCCGACGCGCAAGTACAGTGAGACGGTCAATGCATGGATGCAGGCACCCACGATCGCAGAGGGAGGAAAACGGCTCCACGGACGAGCTCCCCGCGGCCCGCTCGGGAGGGTCATCAGCCAGTTCCCCGAGGACAAAAAGTAGATGTCAGAGAGAGAGAGAGAGAGAGAGAGAGAGAGAGAGAGATCGTCCTGGCAGAAGAAGGTAGCAGGCAGATATCCGTAGGCTGCCACCACTCCTACAGCGCAGTAAGCGTCAAACGGCGATGATGGCGCAAGGTTTTGTCCCCCCTCGTCCTTCGTCTCGCCCTCCTCTCCCCTCTTTGTCCCAAGCTGGCGTTCAGTCAGGTGTCCCCCGATGCCTCCGAAATTTTTGAGTCGGGATCGCAGTTTAGCGTTCGGATTCCCAGACGCCCGAGAGGAGGTGGCAAGGGGGGGGGCCAGTGGGCGAAGTGCGAAAAGCAAGGGTTCGAGCTCGAGCCTCCCTCGCGCCTGAAGGCCAGCTGCTATTGCGGGGGGCCGCGTGCCTCGGGGGCGTGCTGGCGGGGCCAGCGCAGCCGCGGGCCGAGAGTGGTCCGCATTTTTTCCGCAGATGCGGTTTCGTAGGATAAGCCTCCTCCAGTACAACTTCGGGTGGAGCTCGGAGGTATCGCAGCGCCATCGGTCACGAATAGTTACAGCCAGCGCTTCGCTTGAATCTGGGCCCATCGAACTGGAAAGGTAAAGAGGCTTCCTCGGAGCACCCCGCCTCCATCCGCGGTCTCCCTAAACGATCGGGTCACGATTTGGAATGTTTCGGAGGGTGTCATGGGGCCATCTTGGGCCGCCACGGGGCTCTCGTAGGCCATCTTGGAACCTGTCGTGCCATGTTGGGGCTCTCAGGGACTGCTTGGAAACCATTTCGGATGGTTTTGGGGCGATCCTCGGGACTCCTGAGCGGTCTCGGACGCCCGGAATACCGAAGAACAGGGCATCCTCAAAGTCACGCAACAACATTGGGAAATCAATGTTTTTCTGCGTTTTGGAAGCCTCTTGGGGTCTTCTTTGGGTCGTCATCGGGCGTCGGGTGGGTGTCTGGGGCCTTTTGACTCTTGGGGCCCTCGGGGGGGCCTTCGGCCGCCTTCCTGATCGATCTGGGCCCGTTGCTTAGGCCCAACATCGGCATCCAGGAACTCTGAAGCGCTTGGGAGGCTTTTTGCAGGGGCGGCCAGGGGGTCCCAGGGGCCATGGATCTGGCCCCCCCAGGGGCCCGCGGTTCGCGGTATGAACGGGAATACGCGCGCACAGACACATACACATATATGTATGCACACATACATGTACATGTACGTGTACATGTACATGTACATGTACATGTACATATACAAATGCATATACCTATACATATGCATTTACATTTACATATACATACACATATATTTTATAGGGCCAGGGACGCCGGACCCCCCCCACACACCTCCTAACGAATTTAGCCTTCCTTGGGCCTCCGGGCATCCGTCCAGACGACCCGGGGGAACCGCACGAGAGCCCGAAGACGGTCCCAGACGGGTTCCAGGCGTGCCGGCGCGCTCCCGAAAAGACCCCAGAGAGCCCCCATACGGTCCACGACGACCCAAGAAACCGTCATACCCCCAAAACTCGCTCCGAAACGTCCCAAGAGGCCTCCACGAGCATTCCCAAGAGGGCCCCAAGAGGCACAATTCATGGATTTTCTGTTGGTTTTTGGTGAATTTTGGCGTTTTCCTCTTTTTGGCTTCCTGACGCTCGAAGACGGCGGTCAGCTGGGCGGCCGAGACTGCTTGGGAGGCTCCATCATCGCCCCGCAACCATCCGAATGGGTTTCCAAGCGGTCCAAGAGAGGCCCAATATGGCACAAGAGGGTTCCAAGATGACCCTAAGAGAGCCCCCTGGCGGCCCAAGATCGCCCCAGGCCACCCTCCGAAACATTCCAAATCGTGACCCAGTCGTTCAAGGAAGCTGCTGTTGGAGGCAAAATGACCAGTGGAAGCCCCCAGAGGCCCCCAGAACACGCCCAGGAGGCCTCCAGAAGGCGTTAAAACAAAACATGTGTGTGAGGCCCCCAGAGGCCCTCCAAGGAGGAACCTCCGCAAAAAGAGCTGAGGAGGATGGGGAGGATGCATGGAGTAATGATAGCAAATGACATGATTATGACGGCGATGCCGGAAACATGCAACAAGGAGCTATCGCTAAATTGTTGGCTCGACCTTCCTGCCATTCAGCCAGCATACCAAATTTCAACGGCCAAAGAGCATGGTGCGAAGCGCCATTTCAGTCATGTGTATATATGTATACATATGTACGTACGTCACAATGAATGAATGAATGAATGGATGAATGAATGAATGAATGAATGAATGAATGGATGGATGAATAAATGAATGAATGAATGAATGTCTATCTGTCTGGCTGTCTGTCTGTTTGTCTGCATCTGTGGCTGTATGTATGTATGTATATGTATGCATTCGGAGTTCGTCGTCGTCCTCCTCCTCTTTTTCATCACCCCTCCTTTATTCCCCATGCCCCGCATCGCTTTCGTCGTCGTCCTCCTAAGCGCCTCCTCCCCCTCACATCTCTCCCGTTTCCTCCTGCTTCTCAAGATTCTTCCCAGAGTTGCCATGGGGCGCTCTATCGTCATAATCGGACCGCGATCCACCCGTGGCGACCTGGCCCCCCGGCAGTGGCTGGGCACTGGAGCCGTCGATCTCTCCCCAGGGCGGGTTTTTTTATCGTGGGCCGTTTGCGACGGCCCCTGGGCCAGGAACGGGCCTCCGGGGACGCCACGAGCGGTGGAAGGCTTCCGCCGCAGTCTTTTCCCGATTCGCCAGGGGTCTGGGCCTGGGCCTTTCGGCTCGCCGCTCCTCCCCTCAGCTCTTGAGCACCTCCCCTCGGGCTCGAGCCACAGCCGAGCGCCCGAACCGCAGCCCCAGCGCGGCGCGCAGCTTCTCGCCTCCGCCCGCGCACGCGGGGGGGGTCTTCCCAGGCAGGGCTGCAGATGTGGTTCGGGGCGTCGCGGAAGCGCGGCGGCGAAGGCGACCTCGCCCCGTGGGATAGCGACGATTATTAATCGCTTCGCTCATTCCGCCGGCCAACATTGCCTCGCCGCTGTCGTTTGTCGGGGTGTTGTTGTCAATGCGGTGCCGTTGGGCGGCTGACATTTTTCGGAGGCGGTGGGTGGTGGGTCAGAGGCCTCATGGGTGTTGGTTGGGCTCTTGTGGTTGGCCTCTCGGGGGCCTCTGGGAGACAGTTTTGAGGTCCCTCGGGGGCCGTGTTGGGGCCTCTTGGGGCCTCTCGGGGGCCTCTTGGGCTTCTTGGGGTGCCTCTTGGGGGCCCCTTGCGCCCTCTTGGGAGCCTCTTGGGGCCTCCTGGGGGCCTCTTGGGTCTGAAGGCTTGACTTTCCGGTTTCTGTTCCCCTTTTGGGCCCCTCTTGGGACCGTTTTGGGGCCCTGTTGGGCCGTCTTGGGGCCTCTTGGGCTTTCTTCGGCCCATCCTGGGGACGTGCTGGGCCGTCGGGGAACGATGTTGGAGGCCTCTGGGGCAGCTCTGGACGCTGTGAACCCCCAAACGCCGCACATGCGACAAATGCATGTTTTCCGAAGGGAGTGGGCGATTTTTGCTTGCTGGGACCCTCTTGGAGAGCCTCTTGAGGCTCTCTTGGGGATTTTTCGCGGCCTCTGGGGCCATCAGGAGACCATCTTGAGCTTCTTGGAACGATCTTTCGGCGACTCGGGGCCTAGGGGGCCGTGTAGAGGGCCGTGTAGGGGGGCCTGTGGGAGTCAGCTGGGCATGGCCCGGGCATCGGCCGGGGTACTTTTTTTCCAGGGGTCCCCAGGGGCAGCCACGCGCGCGCGAACTGGAAATATTGCTATCTTGTTGCCGGAGATCTTAGCACGCCTCTGGCCCGTTGGGCCGACGAATCTACGGGGAGAAGAGAGCGGAGAAAGGCAAGCTAGGTGCGCTCGCTCCATATCTGACATCCAACCCTTCGCACACACCCCTGCCATTTGCGTTTTTGTTTTCCTAGCCGCCGACAGGTGTCATGGTGGACTTGGGCCCCAAAATGACCCAACCATGTTATGCGCAATCATAAAGGGGACCCGTGTACATTGGAGGGCAAGGAGGAGTAGGAGGAGGAGGAGGAGGAGGAGGAGGAGGAGGAGGAGGAGGAGGAGAAAGAGCTCGTGTATGATCAAAATGATACGCAGGAAGAAGAGGAGAAGAGGAGGAAGAGGAGGAGGAGGAGGAGGAGGAGGAGGAGGAGGAGGAGGAGGAGGAGCAGCAGCAGCAGGAGTTATATCAGGAGGAGCGGGGAGAGCAGGAGGACCCGTGGAAAAGGGGAGGAGCGGGCACGAGAGGGGGGCGACGGCGACGAGGCAGGGCTCGGATCCAGAAGTGTTGGCCCCGCTGGGGCGGGAGCACCACTCGAGGCGGCAGGAGCAGCGCGCCGATCCCGAAGTGATGCCAGGAGGAGGAGGAGGAGGAGGAGGAGGAGGAGGAGGAGGAGGAGGAGGAGGAAGAGGAGGAGGAGGGAGGAGAGGGAGGAGGAGGAGGAGGAGGAGGAGGAGGAGGAGGAGGAGGAGGAGGAGGAGCGCTACAGCAGGAGCAGCATTCGACAGCAGCGCGTTCCGATCTGAAGTGCAAACGCGCGTGGGAGGTGGCGCCTGGCTCGGACAGACGCCATGGGGGAGAGGAGGTCGTAGCTTTCATGCTCATCAGCTGTGGATGGGGGAGGGGGAGGGTGGAGAGTACAGTCGAGCTTGATTAGTAGGTCGATTCTTCCAGATCAAGGGCATTCTGGTGTCCTGCGTGTCGCGGCCCGTGCCTTCTGCGCTCCTATGGAAGCGTGGCCCTCGGGAGGGTCTTGTGTCCTCTCGCGTGTCCTCTCAATCAACCCCGATTGTGAGACGCGAGCCGCTGAAGCTGATGTTAATGTCAAAGAGAATCACTTGTTTTACGTCTGACTTGCAGCTGGGATGTTTCGCGCATTGGGGGGGACTGGAGGGAGGGATGGAGGGGTTGGGAAGTCATATATGAAATGGGTAAAAAAGGAGGTTGAGGTCGAGGCGACGGAGTAGCAGGAGGAGCAGGATGATGAGGACCAGAGTAAACCCAAGATGCATCAGCGATGCTGCAATACACCTCCCGTCCCAAGACGTCCCCTCACAAGTCCCGACAAGCTGCTCTTTTCACGACAAGAAGCGTGCCATGGAAAGACCAACACCTTATTGGCATGCAGCAATTTAGGCGAGAGCCCCAATTTGAAAAGGAACTGCCTTGCATCTTCTTACCGCGTAATCAGGAGCTGGGGCTGGAGAAAGTCGCCACAAGGATCAACTTCGTTTAATAAACGCCCGTCGTCTTGCTGTGTCTCCACGCAGCCTTCGTCGTCCCCGTCGGCCTCGTCGTTCTCGTCGTTGTCGTCGTCGATTTCGCCACACCCGTCGCCGCCGCCTGGCCGCCGTCCCTCTCGTCGTCGTCGTCGTCGTCGTCGTCGTCGTCGTCGTCGCTGCAGTCGTCTTCGTCGTCGTCGTCCTTCTGGCATCTTCCCTCAACAAGCGACTCTGAACCTGTCCCGAAGCGCGTCCTGGACAAGATCTGAGGCACATCTGGCCGTAGCGACGAGGGCACCGCCAGGAAGTCCAGAAGAGGCTGAGCTCCACATTGGCGTCCCCGCCTCGCTCTCGGGCTGCCCTCTGGTGAGGATC